GCGGTGATTATAATCTAACGTCTCGCATTGAGGAGCACAATAAGTAGTCGACTTCCTCTCCCACGTTTGGAGGAGCGGATGCCTCGACTTGCGACCTCCGGCATGCCTCTTACGCCCCTCAAACATATTTAAACTAAAACAGATCGAATCCAAGACGGTTCATAATATTGTATATACCAGATCATCTTGCGTTGATTTAGGTTCTTTCTGGTATTGTTTAGCAAAATGCATTCAACCTTAGATTATTCTACGCATTCAACCTATTGCCGAATATCATACAAGTATCGCTTTATTATAAAAATACGATATCTATTCGTAAGAATTTATACTCGCCTCTAAATATCACCACTTGTTTTGTTTTTTAATTTATCCGGCTATACCTTTATCAAAATATTTAAAATCGTTACTTTTGCGCGATTGGTATTTCATAATTCGTATGCGGCGCTTTCAAATTCAAAGATAGATAAGTATCGAGAAGTTTTTGTCAATGAATATTATGAAACGGTTCCTCGGCGTGGTAACCGGTATTACGTGTATACCACTAAGTTAGGTAATAATTTACTGAATGAACGCCGTCGTGAGAACAACACATAGGTAGCGACTATTTGATGCATTACTATCTGTGCTGTGACTGGCTCAAATCTAAAGCCATGTACTATACTTTTATTTTATTGGACAAGTAGGTATTTGATGTAATTTCAATTAGAGATTGTCTTGCACACACACAACACATTGTGTTAGGAAAGTCATTATGGCTGTAGCATAATAGCTTTATATTTATACTAGCTACTTCCGCGCGGTTTCACATGCTCTGGTCGGCTCCTATTGGTCGCAGTGTGATGTTTTATAGCCTATAGCCATCCTCGGTAAATGCGCTATCAAACACAAAAAGAATTATTCAAATCAAACTTGTAGTTACTCAGATTAGCGCGTTCAAACAAACAAACAAAAAAACAAACTCTTCCGTTTTATATAATAGTATAAGATAAGATTAAGAGCGATATATTAAGAGGTAACTAAATAACTAGAATAGATATACAGTTATTAAGTAATTGTGCCATTCCATTTTGACAAAAATGTGTTCTTTCGAATGGCATGCAAACATTAATTGAGCCGTAAATTATTGTTTGCATCATAGAAACATGAATAATTGCTTCTGTTAGAAAGGATTTTGCATGTGCCATTTACCTCATAGTGTCTGTCTATTATTTTCCATAAGAAAATATTTTATGTAAGGTAGGTATGTAAGTAATTCCGTTCCAACCAGACTATCTGGAAGTAGCTGATAATGATAAATTCAAAGCAATAATTTCACAAGTATCTATTATTCACATTACTCATTATTTTCGAATTCAAAGTTGTATGGGTATGCCATCAATTCCATCCCATTGAATGGCTATTTTTTGAGCTAATAATTTTATCTTGCAGTATAGATTGATTTGTTTTACCAATTTATAATTTAACTCTTTGAGTACCGTCATTATAGACACAATAGGTTGCACAGTTTAAACTGTCAAACACCAAGCGGTCACCAGTGACCGCAACCTATTGTTCTATAATTGTGTCTATAATGACGGTACTCGACGAGTTAATATCTATAAAAGGGATTTAATTTTTTAAAAAGCCTTTTTATAGTGTTGTTCCTGAATAGAAAATATATTGTTTCTATTCTATTAATATAAATAGTTTCTATTAGATCTAATGTCATCATTTTACAATAGGTGAGCACCTACTTTAACACTGCATATTAATTCCTGACTTTTTAATTTAGTTTCATTTCTTTCTAGCTTATGTGAAAAAAGATACCTACCCCTATTTTAATTGGGCATAAACAAAATATAATGTTACAACTCATATTCATGTAAAAACATTCAGAATTACAATTTAATAATTAAAATTAAATACAAAAAAGCATTGAACAATATAATTAGTTACATGCCTGAACTGAATAAAATGAGTAAACCATATAACAACTCTTAATATTGGTAATATTTTCTACTATCATAATTATACATACCTAAAGTATACAACATAACATCACGCCTTTTATCCCCGAAGGGGTAGGCAGAGGAGCACACAGAAGTAACACCCACTTTTCACTATTTATGTTATGAGTCCCAGGTAATAGGGGGTGAGCCTATTGCCAATTATACTGAGCACAATTCCAGACTTCGTGCTACTACTTGGATTTTTTAAAACCTAAGGTATATAAACTTGGCATAATAGAAATCAAGTAAGTAATATAACATGGTGAATTATTGACTCATGTTCTTGGCCATGCATAGTATTAGTATTAACTTGGCACTAAGCATACAAAGTGTAGGGTTCAGGCAGCACTGGGCCTTCGTTCAACAGGAAGCTATTGGAGGCCTAGAGGACAACAACAGGCAAATTATAAAAAATGAATGAAGATGGTTGTAATAAATTGAACTTGACTTATCATACCTATTGATTATTTTAATTTGATTTTCGTTATATTAATTTGATTTTAATTATTTTAATTTGATTTTGATTATTTTAATTTAATTATGATTGTTTAAATTTGATTTAGGTATCATTGTAATTATTGACTTACCAAGAATTTTAATATGACATTTTATTTTAGTAATTATCATTTTTATTTTGACTTTAATTATCTTTATCATAACAAATGTTGCTGTGCCCTTACAGGGTCCATAAATGTACTTAGCTTTAAGCCTATTGTAATACCTTAATCACTTTATGGTACGCAAATAAATGAATATGAATATGAATAAATTAAGAGGTAATGGAAAGTTTAATTTTAGTTTCAGAAGGGTGTTATGTTCTACAATATATAAAGCAATATTGTCTAAAATGTAGATTACATGTAAGTATTTAAATGTTTCAATTACCACATGGTTTGGACATTAAGTTAGTGAATGAATTGATGAATAATATTTAGTGCAATGTGCTCATTCATCGCACAATAAACATTATTGCAATGTTTGATTATAATTAATTTAAGGTATCCACTTTCAATAGAATACCTTTTGCCTTTATAAATTCTACAGTCTGTCACCAAAACAATCTTGATGCCCAGTAATAAAAGCATTCTCAATAAATCGTCCAATCATTTACAAACTACATGTTACTAATTTCCCCAAAAAATGATAGCATTGGCATGTGAATCAATTATTTCATATCTCAGATAATGGAAGATAATACAAAATTAATGTAAAACATTAGACTGGTAAGATAAGGAATTATTTTATAGCTTATGTAGAATATGAATGAATGTAAACACAACTAGCAGAGCACATAGTATCAACATGCATGTGAATAATGTTTCCATATAAGGTGTGAATGTGTAAAGTGAAACGGGCAGGCACTGTGGTTACTGTATCATGTAAATATTTAGTGTAGGAAGGTGCAGATTTTAGGTGAATAACATAAGACAGAAATCTGTCCTGCTGTCCAATATCTACTAAATGGACGGGATCCCACTAATGTAAGACTAGTTAGGTAAAACAAGGAGTCAATCATACCTTCAAGGCAGACGACCTGCACGCCATCTTGCTTAAGCCTCCGTAGCAGGATTCCATGAACAGAGTCGGGGTCCCGTAGAACTCCGTCTCCGTACAACACGAATATGCCTCGTGTACGGCAATGCGTGATCCTTGCCTTTAACTCCTTACACTGAACTGTGGACACGAGCTCGATCTTCCCCGCCGCCAACCGTCGCAACATAATACTTGGTATCGAAAAGTTCACTGCGGAGCGGATGTGAGATATTGAGTACTCATTGGAACCGCGACAGTCTATGAGCACCGTATCCCTCTCGTCGGACCGCAACTTCGCCAACAACCACTCCTTCGACACCAGGTCGCACTCGCATTCAGAATCCGTAGGCATGTTGTAATTACAACGTCCTCCTATGTTTACACGAGCCCTTTGCGACTTACAATCGCCTGTTGCACTAATACATGTAAATCTTACAAATCGAGTTCATAAACACCGTCATTATTATTACACTAGTTAATATAGAATCCGAACTAACTATATTATAAACTGAAGAAAGCCATTTGGAATAAACACAACAGTAATGTAACGTCTATCGCGGACGATCCAGGCGCTTGACTTGACGGTGAAGCAAAACGCAACAACGACCGTACCGAACGAACAAGCGGGAGGGTGTGAAGGGTTGAGGGGTAAGGTGGGCTGTGAGAGAAATGAACAAGAACAACGAGCGGACGAAGCGTCCGTCGAGTCGGCGCGTATGTCGGTCTCGCTCTCGCAGTCTCGCTCAAGCAAGTCGCAACAATAATTCAACTAGATATTTAACATACGAAAATCGAATAATCGGCTACGTTAGTAATTTTTTTGACGGACCGGTTAGTCGAATTAATTGATTATTATTTGCCAGATCAGTATTATTAAAAATATTATAAAAAAGTAGCAGTATAAGTCAAAATGTATAAATTTTTATTTTTAGCAATTTAAAGATTATGAAAATAACAAAATAAACAAACTTGTAATTTGTGTTTAAACTTGTAACTTGTGTTATGTTGTTGCAAACTAAAACAATTTGTCTATTTTTTTAAATGAAAACGTTTTGATGATATGTATTTGTTTGTAACGAAGCCTTATCAACTATCATGCCATGCCCGGCCCGGTTTAAGCCATTTTGGGCATGTTTTTTTGCTTCTCCTTGTATGTCTGTGCTCATAACATACAAGTGCGGAGTAGAGATGCATGAATTTTCAGACAAGTACTATAAATGGACAAATACTGAGTATTTGTTCATCTTTTTTGATAAACATACGAGTAAAGACGTATTAATACTCAGCATTTACTCTTTATTCCTTTCGGAGGATTTATCTGAAAAATAGCCCACCTTTAATGCAGTGCAAAGTGTTGTTCTAAGGGAAGTTGTATCAATAATTAGTCGATTGTAATTTTTTAGTAAACCAAAACGTGTGGACCTTCATTTCTTATCTGTGATTTTCTGTCAAAGTATTGTTGGTGTTGTCAGTGTTTCAAACGTCAAACGTTTCTGTTATTGCGACGAATTGCGGGTGTATTAATTTCCCAGCTTTATTTTAATTAATAAATTACTTGTGAATTTATAAAACATACTTTTGTTTTAAGATCACTTATTGCTTTGTCGTTTTTTGTAATGGAGGCTTTGTACGACGATTTAAGTAACTACGAAGACGTAAACTCCGTAGTGGAGGTATTGTAATTTAGCGCCAAAATTTCCTGTCAAACCATTATCTTGTTTAATTTATGATAAGAATAAAATAAAGAAATTTTAGATGAAAAATCTAGATGCGGAATTCTAATAAGTTATTAATTGGAGCAACTTTGTCAATTTACAGCTACGAGAGGAAAACAAGGAACTGAAAGTTAAGTTACAAGAACATGCTGCTGCTATGGAAAAGCTTCAAAAAGTAAGTACCTTTAGGGTATACCGTAAACATTATATACACATAAATTATCAACCTGTGCATTGGGTATCTTTTTACCTAAAATTATAGTATACACAAGAACTAACATTTGAATAAAGCGTCAAATATCGTTGATTTTTGTAATTTGATCCCTTGCTGGTAATCAAAACTTCATGTTACACAAGCGAACTTCAAGGGAGTCTTAAACCACTAGTGTGACTAATAATATAATTCAAACTTCTATTATAATATTATTAAGTTATTAGGTACCATTAGTTACAAGTATATTTCTATTTAGTATGCCACATGAATGGGTATCACGTTAGAGTCCAGGATATTTTGCAGGATTATGACAAGCTTGAGTTGGAGTTCAAGATGTTGGAACATAACTACTCATCCTTGTTGAAGACTGCTCGCTCGGAAATAGAGAGGAAAACTAAAATGATATCTGAATTGAATAAGGAGTAAGTAAACTCATTTTATCATGTATTATAATGAAATTTAAAGGAAAAGCTATTATTTTTTTGCTAATGTTGATGAACTCGTTGAGTACTGTCATTATAGACACAATTATAGAACAATAGGTTGTGGTCACCGGTGACCGCTCGGTGTTTGACAGTTTAATGTAACCTCTTTAAACAATGATTAATAATGAAATCTATCTATTATTATCTAATCTTTACTACATTAGGAAGTATCTACTGTTATAGCCCATATTTATTAATTTGATGTATCTTTATAGGAAAGACATGATGGTATTGGATGCTTTGAAGAGTGGCAAACATATTAGAAGACATTTTAAAAAGCCAATGTCAAATGTGAACAGTGAGAGAGTTCAGCATGACAAGTATAGCAAGGAGAGAGGAAATGATAAACATCAGAAGGAGGAACCACCACAAAGGAGTTTTGAAAGGTAACATTCATTCAAATTTAATATTATCTATCATCATTTTATTTTAAGGTTACTTCCATGACCATGGAAAGTAGTGATTATTTGTAGCACTGAAATATTGTTTCCCAAATAGATTTTTACAAATCTCACTTAATAGTACACATACAATGTTTAATTTCTTTCTTTTGGGTTAGTAAGTATTGTTATTCAGATTCTTATGCTATCAGCAACCCAGTTTTTAATTTTTTACTTAATTGTTATTTCTGAACATTGTAATGTTTAATTTCGTTATTTCAGAAAAGAAACAACTATGTTGCCTGCACAAGACAGGTTCCCTGACTCTGGTACTTGCACTAGGAATAAGTATGAAAGAAGTAGTACCAAGGCAGATTATAGTGATAGAAAGAATAATGTTAAAGAAAATGTGCCACACCAAAAGACTGAACACTACAATCCTCTACAACTACCGGCTGGCAGTATTAAGGATAGGAGGAAGTCTATGCCAGCTGCCAGGTAACACACATAGATGTTGTCATTACTTTGTAGTAATGATTATACCTATTGGTTGTATTTCACAAATTGTTAACTTACATTCAATTACATATTTCAGTGCATCCAGTGACATACTAAGTTCAGATGAAGATTTTAAACGAAATATCAAAACCAAAGACACAAGAACTGATAATAGAAACTTGAGTAAAGTCTCTCTAGATAGACATAGCAATAAGAATACAGAATCATCGTATCTGGATGATAGAACTTACAATTATCAAGGGTCTATTAGAGACATGCACAAAAGTAGAACAAGCAGATATGATATTTCACCACATAGGGGCCGTGATAACTATGAAGCACCACCTAGATACAGAAAGCATCCTAGCGCAGAGCGTGTACCGAAGAGATTGCACAGGGATCATCAAGATGACTATTATAGACAAGAACAAAGAAGACATCCAGGAAAATCCTTGGAAAGTTCACCTAAGTCTCATAGCCGACATCGGCAACGACTGACAGAGAACCAACCTAGTTATGAGAAGCATGAACAAGACAAGCATAGGCATCAATATGAAAATAAACAAAATTCAACTAAACATAGACAATCAAGTGAATATGATGAACCACTGTCTAAGAGGCAAAGAATAGAATCTCTTGTTCATTCTGATACTCATTTCAAAGAAGATAGGAGGCATTATCCAGAGAATCAGCCTGTGTGTACACAACCCATGCCAGCATTTTCTCCTCATGAATATGATAGTCTTCATTTCTCCTGCCAGTCCCCAGATTCTGAACACATGGAATCAGCTTATCCACATCCTATTAAAGGTAAAAAATATAATAGGTTACAGTAGGGAATTTTGGAAATTAACACTAAGTGCTGAAACTGCGTAAAGCGGCTGTCCGCGATGAGCACCCGGTGCGTGACCACCCGCGGCGCTACGTGTGGACATCGGATTGTTGGGTGTCACCAGTCCAACTTTAATTGTGTGCATATACATACAGTTGTATCAATCAAAAACTTAATATAATAGGACGACACGCGCAGCACACGTGGGTGCGCGCAACGGAGAACTTTTATATGGGACCGTGCGGTCGTCCGCGTCCGGTTAACGCATTTTCAGCCTTACTCTCTTACAAAACTGTTTTCATTGAAACTTTATGTTTGAACCTTTTATTATTAAACTTGTAATAATCAGACTGCCTGTTTCTTATTTAAATTGAGGAAAAGAGTGGAACACCTATAAGTTTTTCAACTTTTGCAGAAATCATGGCTGTGGCTGCAATACCACTGGAAGATCCACGACTTTCGAGCTTAAAATATGCTGTTATCAAAGTGAATGGCAAAGATATATTAACAACAAGAGTTGGCTTGAATGTTGATCTTAAACCGATTGACAGAAGTCATTATGGTGTTCATCCTGTCAATGTTCCAACTGCATTAGTGCGTCGTCCTTCGACTGACAGTATTATAAGCGATATCTATCGTGATGTCGGTAATCCAATAACTAGTTTAAATGCATCATTTGAATCTGGAGAGGTTCGTGAGACTGATTATGAATGCCATGACATTTACGACATACCATACAAACAAAGCAAATGTGAAATGCAACCCAAACAAGTACCAAATGTGTTTCCAAAGCAAACAAAGAATGTAGCAACACCAGCTAGCCAGCCTAACTTGGAAAAGTATGTCATACCAAAAATTTATCATAATAGTACAACTACATCAACTAACATAGATGTTCCTATGAATTATCCACGTGAGACCGTCTCTAACAATAAAGATATTCAGAAAAAAGACGCGGCTAAAGATTCCTTACCAAGGAAATCGTTAAGCAGTGAACACATAAATGAGGGGCCTGTAACTTTTCCTAATAACAACAGTATTCAAAAAGAAAATCAAAGTCAAGTAACACTCAATAAAATGGCCATGGTTGCCGGCGATTTAGAGTTAAGTGATGATACCAGTGATAATGTTGATATACACAAACATGTGATGCAAGAAAAAGTTCAGAAAACTTGCAAATCTTTGACAAATATCGACAAAGACAAAAAGGAAACTGAAAGCCTCGCGCTATCAAAGCTAACGACCGTACCTGTAGTGATGAAACCTGTAGATGATAAAGAAATTAGAAATACTGCAGGTGATGTAAAAAATAGAGAATTAGAAAGTATTAATAAGAAACAAAAGAGTAAAAAATCCAAAGGTAAGTCTAAATCTAAAGAAATGTCTAAAGATTTTGTAGAAAGTTTGGAAGCCAACACAACACATGCTGAAAAGAAGGTAAAGATTAAAAAAGATAAAGAAATAAAACCTAAAAAAAACAAGGAAAAGTTTAGTGATCTGTTTGGTGATAGTAATAGTTTGGTGACTCCTGAAGATTTAGGGATACCTACATATATACCTATTTCTGAAGATGCACAAGACGCGGTCGATATGAAGATCGACAAAGCTATCGCTGCTTCACTTTCTCCATTAGACAAGGAAGAAATTGATCTTGTGCAAACACATCACGCTATAGAACTAAAAGAAACAACTACAGTTTGTGATGTTTTAAGGGCGACGGAGTCGATGGAAAATCACGAACTTCCGTCTCCTATTGTGTATGAAAACCTAAATCCTGGCATCGATTCAAATGATACGGGTGTGGTTAAAACAGTTATAATTTCGACAGGAGTGCAGCCCGGGATTCCGTTTGACGTTAACACGCAAGTTAATAGACATCCTGCACATAGCTCTATGCCTGTAGATGTGAACTCAAAACCGACTGCTTTAGAACATAAAAAACACGATAATTTGAAAGCATTGGCTACATCTACACCACAAAAAGAATTTACTGCTAAAGCCTCTATAGAATCCGAAGTTGGAACAATGGAGTCTACTAGTAAGTCTGATATGGTCAAGGCAGTTTTGACGATATCTAATGCGGAACCAGTAGCCCAACAGACTGACGCAAATACAGATTCTCATGATGCACCGGATGTTAGAATATTTATGAAAAGACGCAGAAAGGTTATAAAACGTCCACAGACTTCTACCACTTAGCACATAGTAATACATTAGACTTAAAGAAGAACTGATGTAGAATATCTGTTTAGCCAGATAATTTATAGTGCAATCTTGTGAGCCAGCTTCAACGATGTACCGTCGCTGAGAGTTAAGTTGGTGTTACCACAGTATTTAAGATAATATGGTCTTTTATTTATAAAGATATAAGTTTCATAAATTATGCCTAATTTATATATTGTTTTCATGGTTTTGAGTTAGACTGAGAATATTTTATGTAAATATTGTTTTAAGCATTTCATCACTTTGCACCAACTTTGTGGTAGCTGTGATTGAATTACTCCTTAAACTTGTATTTCTAAGTCTAGGTGCTCAACCTTATTTTAAGTTTACTGAAAACAAATACATATCTTGTTTAGTAGACATAGTGGAAAGTTTTTGTTACTAGCTGCAGTTTCTCCGCCCACGCGATACTGATCTATACGAATGTATTCAAGAACTTATTTAACTAAATTTTATAGAAAGGTGAAATCTTTTTCACCAAATCCACCAATAGCTTTGGTCGAAAATTTGTTGTAATATACCACAATATTTCTATAATTTATTATTCGCGGCAACTTTTTGTATTTTTTTTATTTATCTGACTCAACATAGAGGCAATGTTGAGACAAGTCGCGCCACACACCACCGTTAGTAATTCTGTCGCCGAGCGCCGGTAAAGTGGTGGACTAGTTGTTGAAATACAACCCTCTTTTCATATAACAGTATAGTCCACCTGCGAGTTTCCTGAATTAAAAAAAAAAGAGTATGCATTATGTCTTTAATTCTATTCTGAATTCTTGTTTGTCCATCTTTATATTCCAAAGTTAAAAGAGATGTTTTTTGTTTGAAGAAAATGTTGCTTTAAAACTTGTATAGTTTTCAAAATGGCGGTTTATGTGCTAATTCTCAAACGCCACCACAATTTTAATGCTGTACTTCACAAAATTAAGGATTGGTGTGATATTTAAGTACAACTTAAAATGGATTGGTATTTCAGTGTTCGGGCGCTACCTTTTCATTTTTGTTTATTGTATGTGGATTGGAGTATGCTCCATTATTATTAGGTATGCCCAATATTACAATTCTCACAATACAAAATGGTCTGAGAATTTTGCAATTTAGGGGGATTTCATTCTAAATTATTATTTCATTAATTCCAGTTTTAGCATCATTTTTTTGCAACTAATGTCATTAAGCAATGTTTAACTATCACATAAGTAAAAACACTAATTTACTTCAGACAGTAAACATAACGCAATAGTAATCTCAAGTAAAGATGACGATTTAATGTGATTGTACGTATTGTAAGGGTTCAATGTTTATTATCTTAAACTTTTTTTAACCTATCTACATGAATTCTTATGTGACAATAGGGTCTTAGGTATTAAAAACGACTTGGATTTAAAGCCCCCTGAATTGCGCGATTGCAATACTGTGCAGCGCCGACAACAGAGGCCTTACCTTAGTATGCGTTCGGCACTCTGATTGGCAGGCGCCATTGAACCAACCAATCAGAACGCCTAATGTGTACTCGTTACGATTACTTGCTACGTAAAGCAAACTCGTACTAGCCTCTGGTTACCGAAGTATTTTATCATGAGTTGCTAAATAATTAGCATCGCATCGCATATTGCTCTCGGTGCGTCCCGTTTTCATGTATCCGTGGCACTAGTCACAGATCGAGAGTCTGTAATAGATTTTCATAATGCTACGTTTATACCTGTAAACTTAAATTGAAAATAAAATATTTGGTGTATTCCCATAACAGTCTTTATTTTCCTTATAAATAACTGTAAATTATATTTACATTTCAGTAGACTATCTATATGATACATTGGAAAGAATGATTAACTTATACTTATAGGAATTTGTACATAATTAATTTAATTAAAGATACATTTTAATTTCCATATCAACATTTATGTACAAGTACTGTTTAAAACAACTATGTTGTGTTATATCTATGTATCGGGGAGTAGTTACTTACATAGCTTAATTAGCGTTAGACCGTTGGTATCGTCGTCATTCTATTAACACAGAGTTAGTTCACCTCGAGCCTCGACAAACAAGTATGAGAAGATCCGGATACGTGAGAATGTTGCTCTTCCACTTATGATTATTAATTTCCTTATAAATTCATTACATTGTGAACTATATTTCTCGTGTTATTTGGCTGTGTTATCTGATGAATTCTCCGAATTCGCAATCTACATGTGATAATAGATTATACAAGATGAGTTGACAATTTATATGGCAATCGACCGTGACTTTGAAGCTATTGATATCAGTCCATGTAAACATTATTTTTTGTTGATAATAGCACATTGAACTTGTGTTAATATTTTACTTAAAATTATTGATTCACTACACTAAGATCGTCAGAGTCTGTATAAAAATAAAACTTCATGCTCAGAACACATGACTTACAATGATACAAAGGGACCGGATATCATTTTGAGATTACGGCAAGTAATACGTCCCTTGCGGAGTCAGAGCTAAGCTATACGCGCGAACAAAGTCGCGGGCAAATAATCACCAATAACGATGATAGAAGTTGTTCACTACATGTAGTCGCTGGGGGTCCTGGGATTAGATAGGGTTCCTATGATGTTGTTGGCAGTGGGGATGTCGTCGTTCCGGGATATGGAGGTCCCGGACGAGGCGCCGGTGAGCGACGAGCCGGAGGCGGAGTGTCGCTTGCCGAGCTTCTTCAGCACGGCCGGCTGCGGCTCGCTGTCTGCGGGCGGCGCCACCAGCTGGTAGCAGACGGCGGACGCGTGCCCCGACCGCACCGACGTCAGCGCCGTGCCCGCGCTCCACGTGTTGGTCGCCGGGTCGTACACCTCCACGATGTCCAGGAACGACGTGCCGTCGTAACCTCCTGCAATTACAACCACACAATCAAACATCGTGACTTAAAGCGCGATATGAAATCGTTTATAAAGAAAAGCTTTCTTTAACAGTCACAAACGCTAAAATGAACACTATGAACAGTGGTACTAACCGAGTGCGTATAGTTTGTTGTCGAGCACGGTGAGTGAGAGCGCGGAGCGAGCGACATGTACGGGCGCGACTAGTTCCCACGTGTCTCGCTCCGTATCATATCTCTCTACCGACGCTAACTGCTGCGACCCGTTGTATCCCCCCACTACGTAGATGTACTGATTCATTGCAGCCACGCCTAGAACAATAGAACAACAAAAATAAGGCCTTGCTAACGGCATCATAGTCCTGCGACTAGAAAAGCCTATAGAATATTATGAAAAAATTAATGATTCTTGGACAAACTGAAAACATTTATTGCAAAGACACAAAGACAATGTAAACTTACCGGCTCCACTCCTAGCTATATTCATGGGCGCTACTTCAGTCCAACAATTATTCTCTGGATGGTAGCACTCGACGGAAGCGATTCGCCTGGAGCCATTGAATCCACCGACGGCATACAGCAGTCGGTTCACTACGGCCACGCCGACACCTAGTCGAGCACAACTCATCGATGCTACTGATGTCCAAGTGTCGCGCTCAGGGTCGTAGCTGTAAAAAGAAAAATATTTGTACATTCATCCTTCATTTCATTATAATTCATCATCGTCATCACATCTGTCTGTACACAGATACAAGAGATCGATAAAATTGAACAACGTAAATTATTGTGCATAATACAATCGCATGTAATGGATACGTTGCAAAAAAGTTTAAACTGTTTGTGTTAGTGACTTGTTGTAGTTAACCAAATAGTCATATTATTATCATGCTTACTGGCGCGTTTTCAAATCCTTTGTTCTTATATTGTGTGTAGTTATAATGTTAGTCGTTCATATCAAGATATTGTTTTCCGTTTTTTTTTAATGATAACAATTAGGTACTCATTTTTTGTTGGTATAAATATAATGGAGAATAATGTGTATTATAGCATAGCAAAAGCGATCGTTATCTAGTTGCTATAGAAAATAATTAATAAGTTAAACTACCATAGGAGAGCAAACAAGGTTATAAGGATCTTTTGTTGTAGGTAATTAACTCGTCGAGTACCGGTTTTGTAGACACAATTATAGAACAATAGGTTGCGGTCACCGGTGACCGCTTGGTGTTTGACAGTTTAATGCAATTAAGTAATGCTTACCATTCTACAGATTCATGATATTCGGAGCCAGCCGATCCACCCACTGCATATAGTAGTCCATCCATTACTGCTACACCTACCTGTTGAAAGAGGAACAATTACATTAATAAAAAAACGATAATTAAGGATAATGTAATAATATATTTAGAACTACAGTTTTTTTATATAATATATTTAACTCGTCGAGTACCGGTTTTGTAGACACAATTATAGAACAATAGGTTGCGGTCACCGGTGACCGCTTGGTGTTTGACAGTTTAATGGGCCGACGTATGACTATTATCTCGCCTAGTGGTAAGCGATGATGCAGTCTACAATGGAGCCCGTCGTCCTATAAGCAACCTATTCAACCGGGCCTTGAAGACACCCAGGACCTTCAAGAAATACAGACTGCCAAGAATTCCACTCCTTAGCAGTACGCACAAGGAAGCTAGATGCGAAGCGCTTCCGATGCGAACAGTTACGGCCATTTTAAGTACACAAGTACACATACCCTGTGCCTGGGCGTGGACATAGGGCTGCATGGTCTCCAGTGTTCCGTAGCAGGGTTGTACACATCCACCCAGTCGCTGTCGTACGATGAACCCGGCGATGTGTTGCGTCCACCCACAGCGTAGAATAGTCCCTGAAGAGATAAAATTGCTATATTACTTCAATAAATCCTTTAAGGAACGTGCAATGTTTATAGTAAGAGGAGGGGTTGAAGATATAAAAGTGTTTTCCTAAATGTATATGAATATCGAGTATCTATTATATTACAAATGCCATTCTGATACTGCAAAAGCCCAAATAAAGCATTATAATAACAAAGCGATGCGCAATATGCCTGATAATTGACAATAAATGTCGACGATGACGTTACTGCCACATTTTGCGGCTGTCATCCTGACTGGCCGAGCGTTTGCGCTGTAAGTAGGTACGCCACGCAGGCGCACAGGCGCGGTACCTACTGCGTACGATTCTATGATAATATTAACACATTGGGCTTATAGCAACATAGCTTATATATTCGTCATTGAAATTATTTTTAGCTTAGAGAACTACGTACGTAAATATTCTCTTTTTTGTAATCTTCATTGTGTAGCTACGTCTTAATATTGCATGGATATATATAGTTTTAGGTAGGTACGTACCTACGTATTATTATAAGTATTTCGGAAGTTTCTTTTAGAAAAGAATTCTATGGAAGTATGGACTATGGACATAAGCCTCATCGAAGCTTCGCAATTATTATTTGGCAATTTTTGTGATAAAAGTACTACTATATTTTATTTATCTACCACTTCATTAAATTATTAGATAAAATAACTGACTTTTGCTTTATAAGCAAACAATTAGTCACCCCAGAAGGTTCCCGCCTGTGCCCGAGTGTGGGTACATCGAAATAGATAACGATCAAATAAAAATAAGTGAGATAACGAATTGTGAAATAAATTGTTGACATTACCAACGAGTATCAACTGTAAGAATATGATTGGAACTACGTATGTAGAATGAAATGAACTTAATTTGAGTATAGCTTCTATTATGTAATCTCATTTAGCGGCATCCGCATAAGGTTCAGTTTCCTTCACCTCGAAGGATGCCTAAAGTGTAAAAGTAGTATCTGATCAACCTGTATTATGCATTCTCGTATGGAGGCATAAGGTTCAATTTTGTTAATACCTTTAGAAATGCCGCTCCTAACCCTGATCGCGGTACAGTGAGCCTGGGCAGCGTCGTCCAGCAGTTGTCGTCTAAGTTGAAGGCCTCGAACAAATCTATTGAGTGTCTGAAGTAACCGCCAGCTACGTATATGATGCGGGGCGTATTCGGTCGTCGTTCCTTCACCACCGGCTTCTTGTGTAGTGTGAGATCCTGCAAACGAAATATAATAATAAGATCAGTGTTAATAATTAACCACTGTTTTAAGTCTGTTGTTTTGGTTTTCGAATTTAAAATGCTGGTAGCGGAAATTCTCTAAATCATTCCTTCTAGTCTTCTAGTGCACAAATGAGTGACTGCACAGTTGGTGCGGCGGCTGGGCAACCGGCTGCCGCGCAACGTGTCGCGGATTCAATTCCCGCACGGAACAACACTTTGTGTGATCCACAAATTGTTGTTTCGGGTCTGGGTGTCATCGTGTATGTGAACTTATATGTTTGTAAACACACCCACGATACAGGAGAAAATCCTAGGGGCAACGTTTAAAAAATTACATAAAAAGATAAGTTTTTAAATGGATTCCTTTAAAACCAAGCCAAAACTGATTTATTCCATTCTAATACCAAAAAGTAATACCACTGGTATTTGTTTCAACTCATATTTTTTTTCTATTCCGAACCGATACCATTGTTTAAACTAATACCAAAACAAGTTCAAAGATATAAGGTACAGTCAGTAAAAATGCTTTGTATGTAAATATAAGACCTTTAATTGAAAAAAAAAAAAACAGATAACTCCAAAAAAATCAAATTTTGTTAGCAAACGTCTTGTTCAATGATAAAATATCACTTAAATAATCAACTTTAATATAATTTTAGTTCCTCTCTATACCTGTATAATATTTTTTTTTGCAAAAACATCAAACAGGAAGAATTTACTTACAATCTAAAAATTACAAAATATCTCAAAAAATTAACTCTTAATTTATATTGAAATTTATCTGACATAGTTATTATTAGATAGGTACGTAATTATTCACGTCTACCTATCTCATAACAACTATGTCAGGTAAATTTTTAACAAAAATAAATCACTTTTATCTAACAATTGTAAAATATCACAGAAAATCAACTTTTTGTATAATCAAATCAGTCATTCATCACTTACATAGCAATGAATCAGCATTTTTTTTTGCAAAAACGTCATATATGAATAATTCACTTATAATCTAAGAATTATAAAATATCACAGAAAATCCACTATTAGTATAATCAGCTAAATGACGTGTAAATAATTTCTTATATTTCAACAATTAGTAGCTAAACCCTTAATTTTTCTAAGCAGTGACCTACGGAGATTTTGTTTTTGAGGAGTTGGTCAGTTACGTATGTGATCCACGAATTTTTCATAATAGTTGTCTGTGCACATCGTTTTGCGGGGGGTGCGTTTGATTTATATTGAGTAACAACCACTGTTTGTAAATCTGCGTCCTCTTTCAGCACGTTCAGAAGCTGATATAAATTAGCATTCTTTGGCACAGCCGAGTTTAATTTCTTATGCCAAGATTCTACGGCATTTGTGGTTCGATGGCGTTCACCATGAACGCACCAAATGTCTACAAAACTCTCGTTCTCTAGCCATTGTGACACCATGTAGTCATTAAATGTTTGAATGGCGTCAGTATCAGGACAGTCTTCCATTATGTAGCACCATCCTTCTGATATGAATTTCCGAGGAAGTAAAGGCAGTAAAGCTGAAAGTCTTACGTGTCTTTGGGTGATAGCATCTTTTGTCAGATCCAACTGTTTTGCTTTTTTCCATACATTTTTGGAATAATGAAAGTAGCATCCTTTAATCACAACTGACGGAAAAACAATTGTAATGGCGTTCATTGCGGCTAGTTCAAAATCTGTTAAAAATTTTACGGGTTCCCACCCAGGAATGTTTTGTTTCAAAATTTCAAATAATTTTTTGAATGTTTCTTCTGTTTTTTTGTTAAGTAAAACATAAATAAGAGGAACTATACGAGTGTGATCTTCGTCACTTCCCAGATCTCCGTGGATAGTATATAACTGCACAAAAGGCTCAGGGGTGCAATCGAATGTTCCGTCGCTTTATATTACGATTACATAAAAATATTGAAAAACAAATTTACTTTGATTAGGTTTGACTGCGCTGACTGTACCAAATTCAAGTTGTTGGTATTCGTTCGTACATTAAATTAAATTATTTAAAAAGTAGTATCCGTTCGGAATAGAAAAAAAATAAGAGTTGAATCAAATACCAGTGGTATTAGTTTTTGGTATTAGAATGGAATAAATCCCAAAACTTCTTCGTTTTAAACAGGTTAAATTTGCTAATGTAAGTATACATAATGAAATTTTTTAGGTGTGGTACCTTAAATATTTTAGCGAGGTACTCTCGGCAAGCCGGAACTTTTTTGAGTACAGTACACGTGCTCATCTGCTCCTTGAGGAAGCTGGGCGTTAGGTACTGACACCGCACTGCTTGGAGAATGTGTTCCATGCGCGGATGCCTTCTGTCCTCATCATACTTCACCTGTAGACAATACCACATTTGTAAATTAGTGTTGTATAAACGCCAAAAATTATTTTTACCAAATTAAATAAAATATCAAGCATTGTTGTTTGATGGGTGTTTTCACTAGATGTCTTAATTATCCTTTTTTCGTCAGTGTAACAGATAAAAAAGTATTGACTATAAGGTACCATTCGAAATATCATGCAATAATAAATAGTTTTATCTACACTCTCAATAACACAATCAATAGCGTGATTTTTCTTACATTAATTAAATTGGTGAACATTTCTGCCTGACAATAGTTTCTCTTGATTTTTCTATTGACCATGATCTGATAACGGCATGATTCATGACATTAAATATATTTTGACGTGGAAACAATGTTTTCCATGTAAACGATTATTTCGCACAAACATTGTTACGTAATATCTACGTTGATGTATCTAAGTATCTGAATTTCGTCTTCTTACGTAGTTTACATAGAATTTAGTCATCGTTTTTCCTTAAAAATTTATTAGCATATAATTAAAGTGATAAATGGGCGTGTGATTTTTATTATATGACATAGTCTGTAGCTAAGTGACACATAGCATGAATCTCATTTTCCTATTTTCACAATGCACATAAGATAATGCGTTTGATTTCATAGAAGCGTTTGCTTAAGACTTATGTTATTAAGCGTTCTGTGAAAACAACGAGTATTTGCAGCAATCTATCTGGTTTATTGCTGGAGGTAACAAATTATATTGCAGTTTTAGATACTACCTCTATATATATATTTTGCTATGTAAAATGTCTAGTACCATACATTACATATATGTATGTATGTATGCATAAAATCTGTGCTTGTGTAGCGTTAATGCTATAGATAATGGTTAACAATAAATGATATAGGATTTTAGTAAAAATAGTAAAAAATATATGAAATATTATAAAGCCTGGTCGCATGGAGACATACCCAACCTAAATGTATTTTAAAATGACGTGCGTAGTTTTGATAAAACGATTATTTGCTTACATGACAAAAATAATGCTGACGTCATACGACGATAAACATATCTATCGCAGACGATAAGTGACCGCGTTGTTTTCCTCAAAGATCGGCTAAATTATATCATGTTACAGTAAATGTTCAACTTGATTTGACCACTACGTAGTGCTACGTCCATAACACCTTTCTGGTTAATTATCCATTGCTTGTGGCTACGTGCGTCATACTTATATTTATGGTCAATCAAATCTTTTGACCAGGAGAAAATAAAATAGAAATACTAAAGATATGTGCTACAACATACTTGTGTTTAAGAACTACAATTTACAGATTCAGTCATTAACAGAACTTACTGTAGGATTCTATTTGGGCATCAACTTTTATTGACCCTACCGAAATAAAGAGCGAGTAAACATTTGAATTCCGCAGCAATTCAAACGACTCTATTTAAAATGATAACGGAGATTAAGTCATAGATTCACTCAAAATGTTGGTTGTAAGTTCAACGGTATCTATGCGATAAGATAATACGGGGGCAATCGCCATCTTAGCGGGTGAACTACATTTAGTAAACGACGGTCATTGCTCCTTAATCCAAAAAATGTACCTGCATTTGATATGATGGATTTAAAATTATTCACATAACTTGATAATTTATTGACTGCATCGCTACTGTACGCGCGGTTACTCAAACTGCCAGTTGCTGTTGGAAAAGTCAATGTATGGAATTGATATGAATTCTATATATTAACTTTTGACCAAAAAGTCGACACTTTATATTTTCTATGAAGACTGTGTGGCGACACATGTCAAAGACTCAATGAAATCAGATCAACGGATGACGTCACAAAAATTATACCTAAGTAAAGTTTACATGCGAATTAACACGAATAGAAAATCCCAACAAACAACTGTTGGGCAGAAAGTCCGCTAGGCACTATCACCTCGACTGGACGGAGGATCCTCCTTTTCCGATCTTAGGGAATACTCTCTGTTTCCTAAAACTGCATCTCTGTTGACATCCCATTATTTGAGTATTAGTCATTTTATAGGAATTTCAACTACAGTTTCCGGGAAGCTTAGGAGTTGTGTTATGACATTTACTAGATAATTTATTATTCACATAATTAGCTACGACGGTGACGCGTCTGACCTTAGGTTATTGGCACAAAATAGCTGGAGCTAAGATGTAGTTCAAATCAAATCGTTGGCAGACACAATAAACAACTTCATTTATAAATTATTAATTGGAATCATGATACAACAGTCAGATACATGGTAGATAGATTGATTATTTTACCTTATTAATAAGATCCTATTGGCAAGTCTACAGATTATGACGTCGGTTGTATTCTTTAAATATAGACTTAATTAATCATTGCACTTAAGTTCATTTTTGAGAATTTGTTGAGTTTTACCAAATATATCGGTAGGTCAGCGACGCATTGGTTTTCTTCCACGTTTCATAACTTAATAAATAATTAATTGAATGGATAACTTACCCAACTGAGCACTGCATTGTAGACGTCCCTTTCTTCCCTTACGTTCAGTTCGTCTTTGCGTATCAAACATATTAATTCTTGAGGCGTTAATTGTAGGAACTCTTCTTCTTGACAAACCTGTAACAATTACATATCTAATTATTATATTGCTTTGAGTTTTTTTTAACAGCGGTCACCGGTATCCGGTCTCCACTAACTACATTATAGACCTTATTTCCCTTGTTTAGAGACTACTTTTCTATGAACAAATTTAGGGTACGATATATTAACAGGTTAAACTTCAGAGGCCTTGGTACGAGTTTCATTTACTAAGGCCTCTGGAACGTCTGCACCTCGATATCGACCGTTTAAGAAGTCGGTTAAAAAATCACCAATCATTTTAGTTTCTTATTTTAAATTTTAAAGTAATCATCCATCTCATTCGGGCTATTTGAATGGCCAATTAAGTAATTCTTTATTAGTTTTATTTCTACTTTCAAATTCGGAATATGAATTCAAAAGCTCAACGTTTATCTTGATTGGCTGTTTGAAAAGCGGAGGTGAGGTGGTTACACATTATTAACTCGTCGAGTACCGGTTTTGTAGACACAATTATAGAACAATAGGTTGCGGTCACCGGTGACCGCTTGGTGTTTGACAGTTTAAGGTGACTCCCCTACCTATGTATTACACGTATAGTAGATATGATTTGAAACCCTCGATATAGGTAGATAGTCCGTCACAGTGTCACTTGGCAAACACCGACAAAGCATGACGAAGCACAACCCTGGACACTTATGTTAACTTTACATGACCCATGTGTGTTCCAGTTGTCACCCATCCATTTAGATTTCTACATTATCATATCACAAATGCCTATGTGACTTCGTTCATGTGTACCGTCCCTTTAAAAAATTCATGATGATTTTTACAAAATGTAGGTACCTATGAGGGAATTTTATTTGTTTACGACTTTTTAGGTACGTCAAAAGGTAATCTACGGCGGAATAGATATTAAATCGTAAATGTTGATTTGTTGAAACCATCGTGTATCTAATGATAAGCACTGTGTTGGTTGTTTATACATACCAAAAATTACAAAGAAATCGTTCCTAGTAAACAATTGAATGAAACGTAATGTTCGAAATATCTATCGTCATTCTCATTTTTAATGTGAATCGATGGCAAAGTTCCTTGTGTTTACAAAAAAACTTGTGACAGTGCAAAGTTTTGGCAGATAACTTATCTTTTTGTAATTTATTTTATTAATTACTTAATTGATTTAAGTGTACATAGTCAGCCGAGGTTCGGTATTTGGTGCCTCAATTTTGAGGTTCCTAAGAAATTACACATCATTTTGTTATTAACAAAGATAACCGATTACTTGATGGTTTGACGTCAATGTCATAAGAATGCATTCGAATTATGAATAGCAATGTAAAGAAGCCGTTTTTGCAGCGACTAGATGGCGCTAGTGCTGTTTTGAATGGCCAACCGTTGTAATAAATACATTAGCGAAATAACCTCATTGCTGAAGAAACTAAAGAGAAGCATAACGTACCTGAGTAAAATGCCTTTCGATAAATTGGTTAGCTTTCTTCTTGAGGTCGACGCAACCATGTTGTTCTGCAAAGTTGGCGATACCAATGGCATTGGAAGGATCCAGTTGCTTCTCGAGGAAAGCACAGCACGCATCAATCACGTTCGATACCTGTCGACACATAACTAAATTGAGTGTAGATTGCTAATGTTTATACATCTATACTTATACTAAGTCGACCTAGATGTTTTAGAAAGTAATCAGTCTTTACTATAAAGTTGGAATTTAATTGTTGGTGTGCATTCTGACATTATAACTTTACTACCATGTTTGTGGTTCTTTCAAACTGATTGCATCAGGGTTTCCTAACAAACAGCAGTTCTAATGTTTATGAATGAAATTGTTCACATTTTCAGTATTTTTTTTAAGGTGGGAAAATCATCGAATTACTGCTCCCGCCTGGGTGAGGTGGGAGGGAGTGTCAGACTCTTACTGACTAAAAACCACCCCGTTCCTACTCCTTACTTCGAGCTGGAGTCCCGGTAACCCGTTAGGTTCTCCGCGGCACAATTTCAGTATAGGTCTGCGTTTTTACATCATCAGTACCTAAATTAATATGGACCTTTTGGGATTACACTGATTTCCTACGTTGAAGTCTAAGCCCTTGTGATGACTTTGCTTAACTTTGCTACAAAATTATTATCGATTTAAAATTTTTCACTGTAGGTAACAATATAATGGGTTTTCCATTTTGTGAATAAATCGATGAGAAATAGCAGTCATAATTACTCGCATTTTTGACAATGACTGTCAGTTATTGTTGATAAAATGAAAAGTAAGACCGAAGCGAAGGCGAGGCTACATTTTTGAATCACGCAACGGATGTTTGAATTTCGTCACATGACACGATATAAAAATAAAAATTTTAAATGCGTATTTAGTACGTAAGGAGGTATTACTCTATTTTCATTAATTGACTATTTCTGTACGATTTAGTGAATATATTACTAAAACATGTAACATTTATTTTAATTATACATCAAACTCGACTTGACTTTGGTTGTTGGTGCGGAATGGGCAACCGGCGGCAACGTCACGGGTCCGATTCCCGCACTTTTTGTGTGATTCACAGATTGTTGTTCCGAGTCTAGATGTCATGTGTATGTGAATTTGTATGTTTGTAAACGCAGGAGAAAACCCTAGCGTAAGGCAAAGTTTAAAAAAAATAAATTATCAGTATACATTTTGCGTCACATCATTTGTCGTCGTCAATTCTTTTGAAACAAAGAAAGGAAATACGATGTAAACACGCACACTTATACATAATGTACCGGGAACCCAGTCAATGTTTGAATATTAATCGAACCATACAGTTTTAGCTAGCAACTAAGAATATTTTTGTCATTTACATCTTGCAGTTGTCAAAACAGGGAATATAAGTTTATTTATTAACACTAGATAGAACCTTGATATTTTTCTGAAATAATTACTTGTCAGAGTAACAATAGGTACCTATATATATAAAGTGTCATCGTTTTTATTGTTAGCTTATCATTTTTCTTGCGAGTGAGACATACGTAACGCAGCTGCAACTCCACGTAGTTACGTCTTATCATGATTCTCACAAACGTTTGAATAAATAACCGATAAATAAATTAAGATTATGTACCTACATTATTCATTATAGTTTGCTAACAAAAAGTGGGCTTACACAGCGCATAGTTCTGATAGCTCGCTCTTGAAATGCACACTGACATAATAGATAATTATTTTGAATGTCAATGTTTTAATCGTTTTGTTGATTCATGTTTACATTAATCAGACACTAAGTGATTTTGGATAATGTAATTATTATTTTAATCCCTAATAGATTTCAAGGCGTAACGTCATGAAGGCCATATAAGCATAATGTGCACATGTCTTATACCGGACACAGTTTTAAACTCCGTGCCATCGAAAATCTGAAATGACTCCAATAACTCTGCCTGACACGGGAATCGAACCCAGTGTTCCGTGCTTGCAACCACTTGACCAACAAGGTAGAAATTATTCTTCTAATAATAACATAAGACTTACTTGGAACATGGTGGCGGCGGGTAGAAGTTGGCAGACTGTGATCTCAGTGATGCGAATCTTGCCGGTGTAGAGGAAGTAAACTAGCCACGCGATAGCAGACGGACAGACGCCCTGTAGACGTACTCGTGACATCTCGCATTCCTTTAGACCACTCGTGAACATTGCCTGTTGGATAAAGGAGCAGTTAGAATCACATCGACTTATATGACAGGGGAAACGTTCCTGGCTTTTGGGGAGAAATTTGTGAGATGGCATGTGATATTGTTCCCACATTAAAATCACCCCCACCAAAAACTATCAGGGGTACCACATCCTCTAAATAGATCAGCTCCTGAATCACTTTCAAGCATCTTGTACAGTATGTTCCTAGGCCTGCCCTATGGCAGGAGTTCAGGCCATGATGCGGAGCGAGGGGGATTGGGATGCCGTCTCCTCCTTTTGCGAAGCAGGCATGCTAGCTAAGGAGGAGGCGGGACGCGTGAGGCAGCGAAGCGCTGCCTCCTCGCAACCCAGCCATCGCGAAGGACACACCGGGCGTCGGGGATCGCGGGACGATCTCCGGCCACCGTAAGCGCGGGCCTGCGGACGGCGAGCATGGGTGGCTCCCCGTCCGACCAGAAACAGACCCGAGCGTACGGCGCGTCGCGTTCCGCGCGCGCCTCAAAGAGCCATCAGACCACCACAGATGGGGCCCAATAGGGCCGATGCCGATTCGGAGTCGCGGAGAACCTAACGGGTAACCGGGGCTCCGGAGAAGGAACGGGGTGGTTTTTAGTCAGTAAGAGTCTGACACTCCCTCCCGCCTCACCCAGGCGGGGGCAGTCATTCGATGATTTTCCAGCCCTTAAAAAAAAAAAAAAAAAAAAAAAAAAAGCAGGAGTTGAAACGAGTTGGTTTTATTCAGCAAGAATCTGCAATCTGACACTCAACACTCCGTTAGTCATTTGTTGATTTTCCATCCTAACAAAAAATGTTCTTAGCCTCAAATCAACTAAATGAAGTACATAAGTATTTTGTTACTTATACTTTATGACTAATTTTATATAGTTCGGTAACGCAAAGTAATCAACTAATCAGTCGTTGGGTTCTCTGATAGTTATCTTTTAAGGAGCAAAATTGTTGCAAATGACTAATTTCAGTGACTAATTGTCAAACAATAAATGAATTATACATTTCATTTACGGTAACAATTCAATATCGATACAGTCCACCAAGTCATCTTATACTATTATATAAAGCGGAAGAGTTTGTTTTTTTGTTTGTTTGTTTCAACGCGCTAATCTCCGTAACTACAAGTCTGATTTGAATAATTATTTTTGTGTTGGATAGCGCATTTATCGAGGATGGCTAAAGGCTATAAAACATTACGCTAACGCTACGACCAATAGAAGCTGAGCAGAGCGTGTGAAACCGCGCGGAAGTAGCTAGTTTGGTATGAAGGTAAGAAAAAAAAATCGTTTAGTACAGAGACGGCAGCTATTTTGCTACTAGACTTTGACTATAAAGCATTGAGTATTAACGACCATATAAAATTGAGTGCCTATAGCCCTCCGCAATAACACTGTGTTTATTACAAAGCAAAAATAGATTCAGAAAAACATTTGTATCAATAGATTACGGGGATTAACCTGAATATACAAGTCATCGTGGTAGGTAACGCTCGAACTCATATCAACCAATTTGAGTAGATGTGTTTGCACAAATTCTTAGAATACTGTACAAGGTTCATTCAGGAAAATTATGTTCTTTGATTTAGAAAAATCATTTAATTGTTGTTAAAAAAGTTAAGGACATCAATAGTATAATTATGTATTTCTATAATTTATTTTCCATTGCTCAGTCAGGCTTTTTTTATGAAAATCGATCTTAAGTTTACATAATAAATGATCATATTTACTGAGCTAAGCGGCTCATGTGATAAGTCATTGTTTATCGAACATTTTTATAAATTGATATGCGAACTTACTGATTTATGCATGAATGAACGAGTATCTTTTACTATAGGTATCTACATAAACATGCTGATTAGGTATCAGCAGTAGATAAATAGCTGAAACTAATGGACCAAACTGAGTGGAATGGGTGAAGATATGCTTAAAACTATGTGTTGATTGATGAATATATTTAAGGGGAGAAAATCATTGAATGTCTTCTCCCACCTGGGTGAGGCGGGAGGGAGTGTTAGACTCTTACTAACTAAAAACCACCCCGTTCCTACTCCTGCACTGCCATTTGGAGCCCCGGTAACCCGCTAAATTCACCGCGGCTCCATAAAAAAAATGATATATTGTATCAAAATATTCTCATGAAAAATAATCTCTATAACCAGCATCTTTTTCAATATATGATGAGGTGTAAAAACTCTTTTGACCATCAATGTCAAAAGTACAAACTTCAAAGGTAAAGTTATCACCTCAGTGCAAAAAAGACACCATTAAATACAATGTTTATTTTATTATTCATGATATTATTATGGACAGGATGACTGGCAAATATTTAATACTGGCAACGTGTGATAAACGTTACATTAAAATACATAAACGTATATTATGATTACGCGACAGCTCCACCGACTTCATACGCTTCGTTGAGTTGCAAAACTTGTACCTAATATACTAATGACGATTTATATTATAAATAATATTCCAATAAGGATATTTGCGTATAAGAAGTACACATTCTTATTCATTTTGTGCGACAACCATATTGGGCCACTACGTAAGGGATTTATTTTTTTGATAACAACGTGGAATATGATAATTTATTGATGGTTACAAGATATTTACATGGCACCATCACGCCTTTTATCCCCGAAGCACATTGCACATTGCGGCACATAATGCCACTGTACAATGTAACACCCACTTTTCACTATTTACGTTACGAGTCCCATCAAGTCCCATGTAATAGGGGTTGAGCCTATTTCCATATACCGAGCACATAAGCAGACTCTGTGCTACTACTGGGATTTTTTAAAAACCTAGCAATACTTTGCCCGACCCGGGAATCAAACCCAAGATCCCTTACCCGGCAATCACGACCGCTTGGTCAATGAGGCAGTTACATAGCATCCTATAGCACTTAGTTGTATATCTAGAATACTAATCCCCTCTAGAGTTTATATGTACTTAAACTGATATTATTCGACCTCGTTTGTTATTAGTACAGCTAGTATTCTAGTACAGACAGTGGTTCCGTAGCTACTATGTTATGCTTCATGGGTTACTATAACCTTTCATATACATAGGTATGTGGCTATGTGTTATGTTGACCTAGGTCATGGTCTATTTGGATTTAAATCGTCTAAAAATCTATTAAGTAGATTAAGTTTCAAAAATTATTTGTGCTATTGTAGTTGGCTAGGTCTGTCGCCAAATATTGGGGGTATTTTAGTAAGTATTTCTACTTTATTTAACTAAGAACATATGAAATCCAAAGCCGAAGATGGAAACGCAAAAGCTCATGCTTTAGGGACACCTCTACCAATGAGGTGGTGTATAAAATACTATTAATTTATCGATTTGTTTTAATCGTTATTTAGCTAGGTTTAGACTCGGCCGGAAATCACTTAGATAAGATAACTTGGTGGGCCATAGGAGAGTAGTGAACACATGTATGTGGTCGGTTTCATCATGAAAGTACCATGCAATACAATATGTTCAATGCGGTTTTTTAAGTCTTTTAATTTTCAACAGTGTTCGTGGTCGTCAATCAGGAACAGATATAGATACCTAATGCAACTTTCATAATGACTTTGGTCATATGGTGCAGTTGTTCCCCACTGCATTGGCACTGCATTTTAACGCCTGCATAATGTAATTTAAGTACTACTTACTTTAAAGTAGGGGCTGCCCGCGGCCAGGACGACTTTGTGGACGTGGAACAGCTCGTTGCCGACTTCCAAGACGACGTCAGTCAACATATGGTGCGACCGCATTGTGAACATCATCTGAGAAAATACAAGCCATTGTTATACACGGTACATTTTGTCACAGTTTATTTAATGTATTGTCAATATTTTAACAATCGGTTGTACGAAGCCATTTGTTAGTTGTGCTGTATCTAATTTAAGTAGTAACGTAATAAACAAAATATGTTATGTAATAAAAATTTGCTCTTCTACAAACAGTGATTAGAATCATTGTAATATGAATAATAGTAATCATTTACATATTAACTACGTTTATCATACGAACAGTTTTATCTCTTGACCCACCCTTAAGTATATTTTTTACGATCCACCAACTGTACCGTTTCCAAAAATGCGAAACGAGAGGCTTAGATATCTACATGTTATTTTTATCGTACAATGAGTACACAATAGGTAAATAATACGTCATTAATTACATATCTACTAGTTGCAGAAGTTGCTAAATCATACAAATCCATCAAATTTCATAACTTTAATCTAACTTAGCAAAAATAAATAAGAATATACTACGTCTAACTGATAAGTGTTCGAGTATTACACCATATTTTTTGCAAAAAATCTGTTTGTCAAGCTGGGTCTTGAAATATTTATCGCGGTAAAATTTGACATTTAATAGCTTAGTTAGCACAATGAATCTTATTATTATTATACCGAATTTATTGTTTTACAGTCGAAGTCAATAGCCTAAATAATATTAATCAGAAATATTTGTATTAGTTATACAATTCAAAGCCTTTGAGATTATTTTTGACATAGAATTCGACTTCTATCGTTTCTGTTAAACGCTTAGACCAATCCAATGATTTCATATCAAGATTTGGATATCAATTTAATTTGGGACGTTAGAGGAGGTCAAACAAGAAAATACATAACATAACATCACGCCTTTTATCCCCGAAGGGGTAGGCAGAGGTGCACACACAAGTAACACCCACTTTTCACTAATAGGTTCAGGTTCAGTAATAGGGGGTGAGCCTATTGCCATATACCGGGCACAATTCCAGACTCTGTGCTACTACTGAGGATTTTTTTAAAACTCAGTAATACTTTGCCCGACCCGGGAATCGAACCCGAGACCCCTTGCCCGGCAGTCGCACTTGCGACCACTCGGCCAACGAGGCAGTCAGAGCAGCAGAGAGCAGAAACAAGAAAATAATAATTAGATAACTTGTGCTACAGTCAGTGGCGTAACTATACCCTTCGGGGCCCGTGGCAAATTCATCGAATGGGCCCTCGTACCCAATAAAAAACAGAGAAGTTCAGATGAAAACCTCTGAACGGGGACACTTCCCAGCTGGGGGCCCGTGGCATTTCGCCGATTTGCCACCCTGTAGTTACGCCACCGGCTACAGTGCTAGACAACGTTTGACCGATACATTACAAATAATTATTTATTTATGTAACTGTGGCGCTCTATGCCTTAAAAGAGATGTGTAGTTTGAATCTAATTTAAATGCAAAACTTCGGATAAACCAAAAAATAAACTAAATATGAAGATGTAAAAATTTGGGTACCTAAGGTACCTACGTATTAGTGAGCCAATAATGTCTAGTAAATAAATAATTACACAAACTGGAAATACCTATGTAACGAATAAATATGTCGCTTCAGTTTAACTGAACTCATGAACACCTGCACTTATTCAAGTCATCGTTACAATTACCTGTCATATACAATACAACATAATGCATAGAGAATAAGGTAAACAATATGTAACTCGTGTTCAATACACAACCACTTCATCCATTTAAAAGTCTGTTATAGTTAATTGAATACCTATAACAGAAAAAACTATTATATCACGACTATAAAGCGATTTAGATTTCCTTCAAAAAACAAGTTCAAGATTCGTCAGTAGGTACAAGGAATTTTAAATTGTGACTCAGCTAAAAACCCGTATATGGCGGTACCTAATGTGTATTTGACTCGAGACTATTTGGTTAGACTGACCGCAGACTATAGTCAAGGCGTTGGTCGTCAGTAAATTGGCAAACTGTACTTTTTCCTCTGAGTAAAAGTGGCAACTGTGTGTTAATTTCAATGCGCTTTTCAGTTTAGAAGGCAGAAAAAAAGTAGACTTGTATAGAAAAAGCATATTGGTATCAGATTTTGCGTGTTGGTTATTCAGCAATACTTTATTAAACTTTCAAACACCAAGCGGTCACCGCCCACCGGTGACCGCAACCTATTGTTCTATAATTGTGTCTACAAAACCGGTACTCGACGAGTTAAAGCACAAGTCAATATCCCAAACGGTGTTCAGTCTTTTCTCAGTTCTACATACAAAATCTATCTACAAAAGTATTAAAGATTTCGTATTAAAACTGGTTTTAAAATTAAATAACATTTCCATACATAAAAGATACGTAGTATATAAACACAACTCAACAAAAACAAGTACTTATAGCTATGAAGCCGGCTGATAAAAATATGCTTTGTCATGGGTACATACGTTGTGCGAACCTGCGATAAGTGCGCGACCAACAAATGTTTATTTATTGGGTATGGGTATTCGTTCTACGTGTATCATGTTTGCTTACAAACTCTAATCTTCAACTAGCTTATTTACATACTCGGTATCTTGTCTCAATAAGTCGCTGTAGTATCAACTATGAATGAGGACGAACGCCAGTTGGGGCATATAGATAGTTATACTTTGTACAGGAATTACTGTGATGTTTGAAACAATATGCTTGCAAGATATATCTTGTACAAATGAAAAGAAGTATCTATGAACTAGCTTGTGAATTAGTGGATGAGAAAGCACATTTAAGTGGAGAACCGGATATTGAGACGGAACTTAAGAGGCACCAAGCCAATTGAGGACAGAGTTAGACTTGATTAATTGAATTTACGCCAATGTTTTATTTACATACAATACATTATTATGCTTTAACAAGTAGTTCACATGTAGGTAATTATCATATTATTGAGATATTATCTCACTCGCCAAAATTGGTATGGTCTGCCTTGAACTAATATGATAGATGATCAAATCAATATGCACAATTAATAAAAAAAAACCAATCTAGTTAGTAATCAAAACCTAGAATTAATAGTCTGGAAAAAATACACAATATCATATTGTATAGTTTTTTCGGTTTTATCATAAACGCTCCGATTGCACAACACAGCTGTAGTAATAATTCGATATGTAGATGTGAAATTTATTTACCGTTTTTAACTTCAACATTTTGTTAAGATGGTTTAAGTTAGCAATTAGCTGTTCTGATAACAAAGTAAGTGCAGAGAAAAGAGAGTTCTTCTATACACAACCATACAAAAGAAAATAGTCGGTGCATAATGCAATGCAAGCTGGATGAGCCGACAGTCCCATTTATGGCGTCTGGAGCTTGGGGGAGTTTTCCATCATCATATTATACATATACGTTAACAATTTTTACTGGCATATAACATAATAAAGTGTAGCTAGTAACTAAACTACGACTAGAATGCCAGACTCATTTTGTATCAGCACGCTAATGAACGTGACCAAGGATACTAGTGCTCGGTGAACAGTAACTTGGAATCGTGATACTCGTGAGTTACGGATTCTGTACACATAATAGAAACTCGTATGTTATGTGTCACTGGTGCAGCTTTCACAAGTATAGTATAATTGTATTAGTACCTAAATTATTAATGAAAAGTAAACGATTCTCAGGTCGATTACAGTGTTCGCTTTTTAGTGTCATCCGGTACATTTTTCTCTACGGTCTCTTACTAAATTGTATGTTCGACGGTTCTTTTGCAGTCCTAAAATAAAACGGATAATTTACTAGACCTACATCAGTAAGACTTACTAAGTTTCACAGGGATATGTTAATTACATTACGCTGATTCTTCGACCTTATAATAGGCCGATCGAAATGTTTTAAAGACTAAAGCAATAACTGCTTTATACAACAATTTTAATACCTAAATATGCATCTTATACTCATACAACAAAGTCTTGAAATAGAGAGAACGGCAAGAGGTTTAGAAAAGGTGTCAGAAATGAGGCTGCCGCAGTCACCATGACAAAGCATTAAATTGTAGTCACGTTCGCTGAAACTGAGGCGTATAAAACTATAAATAAACGATGTAGTTATTTAGCTCGTAATAATTAATATTTCTGTATTACAACTGACAGAATTAATTAAAAATAATTGAAATATTACTCAACTGACCTAATATAGAAATAGGAAAATTGTATGACAAAGCCGAGTCCATATAGATCTGAAAAAAATATACTAAAGGCTAATTCTGTTAAAACAAAAAATTAATCTAATTGTCGCGTAAAACATGATAATGCCATAAAAACGATCGGTTGATAAAATATTTACTTATTTATAGGTAGGTAAGTAAATAAGCATACGTATAACTTATCGATAAGACTGAATGATGTGATGACATAGAAAAATATTATTGAGATATCTTGCGTTTTTCCTTAAACGACCATTAAATATCGACAAAAATTATCAAATCTTCATGTCAAATATTTTTGATCTCATAGTCTATATGACTATTGCTTCAAAAAAAATATTTGTTTTGAATAAATCGATCCGAAGAATACCATGGCATCACGTTAGCAATTAATAAAGTGAAACCCCCTTAATTTAGAATACCACGTATGTAATGATGTACTTACTAAGTACTTTTCTTGTTCACGGTGGTTTCCCGATGAGTCAACAGTTATTTAAAATTAAATTCACGATAAGTTTACGAAGGTCAATGAGTTCAAGTATAATACAGTATGATAACATGCATGAGATGATTTCCAATGTAATTTGAACATCGTATGATAAATATTATCTTCTTAAAAATATTGTCTTTATGCTTAAATACGTGTTTCTATAAGGGCTTGTGAATCACATTTCGATGTTTGATAAAATCGAGATAACAGTAAAGATAAAAAATATCAATAAGAGGATTAACTGACATTAGTTAGCACATGTGTATCAGCTTCTTGTAGCTGTTATACATTAGTATAATAATAAATTGCAGATATCTGCTGCAGTAAAATATCAATACATAGTATAAAACAAAGTCGCTTTCGCTGTATGTCCGTATGTATGCATAGATCTTTAAAACTACGCAACGGATTTTGATGCGGTTTTTTTTAATAGATAGAGTATTTCTTAAGGAAGGTTTGTATGTATAATACATGCATATTGCACCCGTGCGAAGCCGGGGCGGGTCACTAGTAAATAATATATTGAACTGATAACTTAATAACTTTAATCAAATTGTATGCAACAATTATCTCCGAAAATCCCCAATTTATTTTCATTTACAGAAACACCACCTAAATTCATTAGACTACCTTAATATACAGCTAATAACTGATTGAAAGTAGTCGACTAGTTTCTAGCCACAACCGGGGCTCATAATCATGACTACTTGAGGATTCTATTAAATTGTATGTCATACTATAGTCTACGTTCATGGTGTTTGAAGCAGATATTTTCTTTTACTTCTCTCGTTTTCTCCCAGGGTAGATACCGCATTACTTTAGCCTACAGGCTAAAATTTTCGGAGAAAAACTATTCTTTCCAAAATGGAGAATTAAGCAACAGGAACTATTAAGTAGGATTGCTTTATGCGACTAGAATGCTGCCAGTCACGTCGATTGCGAAGGAGTCTCGAGAAGTGACGTCGCGAGTTCACGGTCGTTGTACAATCACTATGTCACTCATTAACATTGCCTAGCCTGTATTCGGTTAAAACTAGAATTCTTGCTTGGAGAGAGCATTGCGTAGGTATTCGTATCATGATATATTATTGTCTGCTGCTACTCTCTCTATTTAGAAATTAGAAGAATAATGAGCTCCGAAATCATCAGTTTAGTAGCTATAATTAAACAATAGGTATATCCCATATTAATCAAAATTCAAACAAAATTCGATTTTGGTATTTTCTGCCTTACAATACCATTATAGTAACTAAGATCGTTACCATTATAGTAACTAAGATATGGTACAACACCATCTTAAGAGATTTAACAAACACTCTCTTCATTTTTCGTCCTAGTAGTAATACCTAATTTGAAATGAAGAAAATAGTCTATTTGGTTTTGTCTATATGCAAGTCAGGTATTTTGTCTTTACATGCAAAGTAATACAGATCATTAGACACACCTCTTTAAACAGTTAGACGACTGTAACGGCTAACTGGCCTAAAACCGACTCATTTTATTTTAATACTAGCTTCTGCCCGCGACTTCGTACGCGCAATCCCGATATTTCCCGTTCCCATTCTTGATTTTCGGTAAAAAGTAAAAAGTATCCTATGTCCGTCTCCTGGTTCTAAGCTACATCCTCACCAATTTTCATCCAAATCGATATAGCCCTTCTTGAGTTATAAATAGTGTAACTAACACGACTTTCTTTTATATATATAGATTATACCCAACTTTTAACATACATGCATACATAACCTCACGACTGTCTCCCATGAGGGTAGGCAGAGACTATGGAACACGAATTGCTATGATTCTTACACACCTCTTTCGTTACATCAACAGTCATCAGTCTTTTCAAGCATGCAAACTTTTAAATAAATTTTAAATTTTCATAGCTTTTTGGAGCAAAAACTGAATTTCTACACACTAAACAAGCAAACAGCTAGTGCACAAAAGTAACGATGAGGAAAGGAACCGTAATTTAAGTACACCTGGATTAAACTGTCATACACCAAGCGGTCACCGGTGACCGCAACCTATTGTTCTATAATTGTGTCTACAAAACCGGTACTCGACGAGTTAAACTATGACCACGATTTCAACTATGAATACGTAACGTACGCATTAGGTACACGTTTATAAAGTCTTTATAAGTACGCAGGGTACTTATGGATCGGACTTTGAACGAAGACTTTGTACAGAATCTGATTTATTTTATCATATCGCAGTTGTTAAAGTCCAATGTTTTTACCATGGTCATAAGACAAGGTTCAATCAACCTAACAATTCCGTAATAGGGACATCAACAGAAAGTTTTAACAAGCCAGTGGCAAGTCACTTCCGATGGCCTTAGTCAGTGAATGATGACAGCTAATAATTGTGAAAAATGTTATTGCACTTTAGCAAATAAAAGGAAATGAAAATACAAGTGGGTATTATATGGTACAATAATAAACTGTAATTCTAATAAAACTGAGTGACGAATATGATTACGAATACTTGCATGAGAATTCAATGGGGCCAAAGTCGCATTTTTGGATCGTCATACCACAGCGATGACCATTAAATAGTAAGGTCCAAAAAAGACGTAAAATTGTCAAGTATAAAAATATTAATTAACATGATAGTAGGTTTGGTTGCTATCTCAAGCAAATAATTATAGCCTGACTATACCAAAGGTATGTGACGTGCTTCCGAAGGACACAACATTCGACATTATTTCAAACGATAAAATTATTTGGAAGACGTCTATTGTCTATGTACAAAGTTCAATTTGCGGCGTTATCTTTATCTACAAGATAAACATGCAAGTCATTCTAGATATATAACTAACGTGGAGGTTGGTTAACATACCTAGCTTAGGTGTCTACATTCTCTGGGGTTAAAGTTACAAAACTTGTTATACAACTACACAGTCTGTTCCCAGTATCTGTCTGCGTGTTGTTGCACTAGGCTGCACCGGGGCATTCAACTGACCGTTGAGAAATAAACATTGTGTATCGCGAATTTATGAGCCTTGAGATGTCAAACACACTTAATAATTCATTATGTTTCATTGCCCTACTTACATATCTTCATTTATTTCATACGAAATACTTAGTAATTTCGGTCACACGATGCCACATGACCAAAAAATGTTCTTTATCGTTCATACGTATAAAAAATGTGATAATAGTGTTGATATAAATAAAACATTCGATTAGAAGAAAGAGTGGAGTGGTTTTTTAAATTCTGCAATGTAATGTTGAGTTGCGTTATGCGAATCTTGTCACATAAATTGCATAAACTGTATATTTTTTCCTGTGCCATGTATGTACCTATTCTAAAAATGAAGTAGTTCTATTACGTAATAAACTAATAATATAAAAAAAAATCACTTATTGAATAATTAACATACGTAGACATCGATCACCACGTTGATGTTGAATGTCATGTGCATAAAAAACCTGTCACATGATTACATGGTTTTGTCTGGTGTGAGTGTAAAAAATGTGAAATATAATTTGTTTGGGATAGATCCCAACCTATCACGATGATGTCGCTAATCTACTACTAAGTCGATTTCCCAAAAATAATACTGCTAATGCGAAGGCCATTGACCCTGCAAATCCTGATGCCAGGTCACTGAACTATAAAAACAATTTAAGATTGACGCTCCTAGATTTTGGTTTTGAGTTTTAGGCGGCAAGGATTAAATTGACCTTATTGTTTTTTAAATTTTATCTATCCGATCGGGTAACAATAGAAAACTGTTACAATGACCACAATATTATATATGTTCTGTGGTTATAAGTTATAACAATGTTAATTATAAGTTTTTGTATTGAGTGACAACATTATTGCATTGGGTGTAACCTGTTAGGATGTATTGATTTAAATAAATAAATATTTATTGTCCTCGTGACCAAATGTCTGCATAACTTCAAAAACTGCACCATTCCCATTCGTTTCTAAGCAAAAATCTCGTTACCATTAAACTGTCAAAGACCAAGCGGTCCCCGGTGACAGCAACCTATTGTTCTATAATTGTGTCTGCAAAACCGGTACTCGACGAGTTAAGTTTCTAAGACGACGTGCTTCTATTAGTTGCAAATAAGCTTACCTTCATGAAATCACTAATATAGTTTCCCATGCAGAAGGTCAGGTCACCGATTTCATTGGAACTGGTGCCGGTTTCACCTTCCAGGGTACCGTCGCAGCTGATAGGGGGCATGTTGTCCAACATGTTGCCCCTACCGACATCTTCATCTGTCTCCATACCTGGTGGAAACAAATACTAAGTGTTAGAAAAAATGAGCTGCGGTCTTAGAACCTCACTTAGGTTTAATAGATTGGTTAGTCCATGAAGGTAAAGGTCGATGATAGTGGGATAGCTGCTTAGCGCTATAGATACATTTGAGACCTGTGGAAGCTTTACGAACAAGGATTCTATTGGGAATCCTTGTGGGACATTGGTCCCAGAACATTTTAAAAAGAAGACCTACTACTGCTACAGACATATTCTTTTATATAATTACATTCAGTACAATCATTCAGTGTTCCGGAGTTCTATTGGAGATCGTGGCTTATAGGAGTTGCAGCGGTTGAGGAGGGTGTGTCGGGTTTATCACATAAGAAAACATTATTACGCATTAGCGCAGACGTCTTCTTAGAAGCACTTAAATTTTCACCAAAATTTTGTTCGCGTAGCATTTACTAGGCTGTTAGATATTCATAAGTCACCGGAAGCATAGAGGGACTAGATGTAGAATAGTCTAAGCTTGAGGACACCAGTCATTCATTTTAGTGGGAGTTTACAGTGATGCACATTAATGTACTCGCTCCAGTATGCGCGAATCATCGCAATATCCTATGTAAAATAGCACGCCTCATTTCGTTATGGGTGTACTGGTGTTCCCTTTACAACATCGCGACTGTTCTTCCCTAAAGGGTCCATTTGAAGGACATTAACATGCACCTTATAGCTGTGATGTGAGATTCGTATGACAGGAGAAGATCCTTTTAAATGTGGATAGGCAAATCAGTTTTAGCTGGTTGTGGTGTTCTCAGGAGAATGATACGTAGGTTGAGTTACTACTTACTTTAAAAGAGAATAAAATTTTGATTCTAGAGGTATGAGCTTGTGGCTTTTCTTTAGAGACATT